CCTTACTTTTGATTTCTCCAACAAAATTGTGAGTGTAAGGCCTTTTCAAAGCAGGAGGTGAGTGTAGCAATTGAGCTCGTTTCAGACTAGTATATACGTTACTATTAATTTGATAATTTTTATAAGGATCGCTAACAACAAGAGAGAAGAGTAACATGGCCATGAGGACAATCAAATAAATCTTAAAAATTCCCATCTCTTTGAGTTTGAGTTTGAGTTTGAGTTTGTGATACAAAGATTATGTATAAATAACAAGGGTATGGGGTATGACAATTTAATTTGGTCAAAATACAGCTCGCACTAGTTTTTTCAATTCAAACTTAATTCGAAACAAAATGATATTTTATTTATAAAATTTAGAAATATAGATGTGAATATTTCCTCAACTTGGAAATAAACAATTTTAAATTGATAATTTTTCAAATAATTTATTATTGAGATTTTTCCTTTAATTACTCTTTCTAGACGTCATTATTTATTATAAATAATATTTTTGTTAATAAAAAAAGGAAGGGTAAAAATAAATAAAAAGCAAGACATTTACTACTAATTTAGTAGATTTTATAGCATAAAAATTACTTTTGCTTAGTAATATTTTTAAAAAGTTAAACTTTTTAAATGAATATGCAATGGTTTGTTTCATAATCTAGAACCTTACATATTTTATCAAATTAATAATTTTTGGACAAAATTATTTTTAGATGAAGCGGTTTCAAATGAGTTGTGCCCTTAATTGAGGTGTAAACATAATTTTTATGGTAAATATGAGTTTTCTGATTTTGCAATTTCCTATTTATAAGAAAAATATGTACACTTAATTTTTAAACTTTGTCGATAATATAAATGAACAATGGAGACATATTTGTCATTAGTTAATAAAAATAAACATAAGATAAAGGGTTAAACATTTGTCCTTGGCAAATATTATAGTGTTTAATTAAAGAGTAAAACATAGGAGTGACAAAATAGATGGATTTGATGGATATGGATTGAATTGTTAATGTAATGATCAAAATAATTCATTGGTTCATTAATAATACACTAAATTCCCTTTAAAATATCCAATTTAATCCATCCATTAAAGATAAAATTAATCTGATCCATCCATTAAAATGATTTTAATGGATGGATATCATTCTATGCAAAAAAAATCAATTTAAACATAGTTATATTTAAATTAATTGTTTCCGTCTGATTTTCTATTCATATTTCCTCTGCATCTTTATCATTGCATAAATTTATTTTAGAGTGAGGCTCAAAGTCAAAGGTTGACTCTTTCGCCTTTTATTGTAAATTTTTTATATATTTATTTTCAAAGACCATCTGTATTTGGTTTCATTAGTATTCATTTGCATTAGATGGTAAGTCACAAGTCAAAGAATTGACTTTTGAATTTGACTTTCCTATTTAGTTTTTTTTATTAATTTTATTTTGGTTTAATTTCAATTTACTTCTATTAGAATACCTTGGTTCTAAAAATCGATAAATATAGAATGAAAGTTTGAAATAGAATAAATTAAATATATTTTTATTGTTAAAATGATTAGTGCATTTTCTTACGTCATATTTCATTCTCAGTACACAATACATGTTTTTTGTTTACACTACCTTATACCACTTACATCACATACCTATTATCTACATCCTACACTACATACCATCACATGGCTCCTACAGTATTACACACCATGTACTACTTACATACAAACTAATTTCGTAACAAACTTGTAAATAATTCACAGTAAACTCCATCCAAATTACATTTTAAGAAACACAACTTCAATTATTTTCACCACACTAAAACTCCATCAAACTAATCTGAACCACTCTTAAAACTGCAAAACAATATCCTAACCTTTCACTCAATTAATTCACACGGATCACACTCAAACTCAACTTAAATTCCACCTAAATTATATACAAATTAATCCTAATTCTTTTTCTATTTCCCTCCATTTCATAACAGAATCACACATTGGGTAACCACGGCTCACACATACAAACATCCCTATAAAAATATCTTATTGTTCACTCATAATCATCCATAATCAACGTACTTTTACTCGGCTAAAATCAATCTTCACAATCATCCATATAATAAAATAAAAACATATTATAATATCTATATAATTATGAAAAAAGGCAAATGAAAAACTAACACAAGTTTAAGCTATATTAAAATGTTTTATTATATTACGTTCATTATCAGAATATAATCTGAACATATATTGCATGCATGATATTCATGAAAATTGGATAAGTAAATTAAGAGCATGTTAAAGTGTCTATTTCCTAAAGAACGTGTCTTGAAATAGAGACTTAAAAACTAAGACTTCACGGTAAGAGGCGAATCAAGTGATTGAGTTGAATTTGGATCTGTGAGAACATTTCTTTTTATTTTTGGATTAAAGTTGTACTTGTAAGAAGTTTTCATGACGGGAGGTGATTCTGGTGATTGTTCTGGATTTGGACCAGAGGGAACTTTTCTTTTTATCTCGTGAATAAAGTCGTAAACGTAAGACCTTTGCATGGCGGGAGGTGACTCTGGTGATTGTTCTGGATTTGGACCGGTGGGAACTTTTCTTTTTATTTCTCGAACAAAGTTGTAGTTGTTAGACGTTTTCACGGTGGGAGGTGATTCCGGCGATTGTACTGGATTTGGAGCTGTAGGAACCTTACTTTTGATTTCTCCAACAAAATTGTGAGTGTAAGGCCTTTTCAAAGCAGGAGGTGAGTGTAGCAATTGAGCTCGTTTCAGACTAGTATATACGTTACTATTAATTTGATAATTTTTATAAGGATCGCTAACAACAAGAGAGAAGAGTAACATGGCCATGAGGACAATCAAATAAATCTTAAAAATTCCCATCTCTTTGAGTTTGAGTTTGAGTTTGAGTTTGTGATACAAAGATTATGTATAAATAACAAGGGTATGGGGTATGACAATTTAATTTGGTCAAAATACAGCTCGCACTAGTTTTTTCAATTCAAACTTAATTCGAAACAAAATGATATTTTATTTATAAAATTTAGAAATATAGATGTGAATATTTCCTCAACTTGGAAATAAACAATTTTAAATTGATAATTTTTCAAATAATTTATTATTGAGATTTTTCCTTTAATTACTCTTTCTAGACGTCATTATTTATTATAAATAATATTTTTGTTAATAAAAAAAGGAAGGGTAAAAATAAATAAAAAGCAAGACATTTACTACTAATTTAGTAGATTTTATAGCATAAAAATTACTTTTGCTTAGTAATATTTTTAAAAAGTTAAACTTTTTAAATGAATATGCAATGGTTTGTTTCATAATCTAGAACCTTACATATTTTATCAAATTAATAATTTTTGGACAAAATTATTTTTAGATGAAGCGGTTTCAAATGAGTTGTGCCCTTAATTGAGGTGTAAACATAATTTTTATGGTAAATATGAGTTTTCTGATTTTGCAATTTCCTATTTATAAGAAAAATATGTACACTTAATTTTTAAACTTTGTCGATAATATAAATGAACAATGGAGACATATTTGTCATTAGTTAATAAAAATAAACATAAGATAAAGGGTTAAACATTTGTCCTTGGCAAATATTATAGTGTTTAATTAAAGAGTAAAACATAGGAGTGACAAAATAGATGGATTTGATGGATATGGATTGAATTGTTAATGTAATGATCAAAATAATTCATTGGTTCATTAATAATACACTAAATTCCCTTTAAAATATCCAATTTAATCCATCCATTAAAGATAAAATTAATCTGATCCATCCATTAAAATGATTTTAATGGATGGATATCATTCTATGCAAAAAAAATCAATTTAAACATAGTTATATTTAAATTAATTGTTTCCGTCTGATTTTCTATTCATATTTCCTCTGCATCTTTATCATTGCATAAATTTATTTTAGAGTGAGGCTCAAAGTCAAAGGTTGACTCTTTCGCCTTTTATTGTAAATTTTTTATATATTTATTTTCAAAGACCATCTGTATTTGGTTTCATTAGTATTCATTTGCATTAGATGGTAAGTCACAAGTCAAAGAATTGACTTTTGAATTTGACTTTCCTATTTAGTTTTTTTTATTAATTTTATTTTGGTTTAATTTCAATTTACTTCTATTAGAATACCTTGGTTCTAAAAATCGATAAATATAGAATGAAAGTTTGAAATAGAATAAATTAAATATATTTTTATTGTTAAAATGATTAGTGCATTTTCTTACGTCATATTTCATTCTCAGTACACAATACATGTTTTTTGTTTACACTACCTTATACCACTTACATCACATACCTATTATCTACATCCTACACTACATACCATCACATGGCTCCTACAGTATTACACACCATGTACTACTTACATACAAACTAATTTCGTAACAAACTTGTAAATAATTCACAGTAAACTCCATCCAAATTACATTTTAAGAAACACAACTTCAATTATTTTCACCACACTAAAACTCCATCAAACTAATCTGAACCACTCTTAAAACTGCAAAACAATATCCTAACCTTTCACTCAATTAATTCACACGGATCACACTCAAACTCAACTTAAATTCCACCTAAATTATATACAAATTAATCCTAATTCTTTTTCTATTTCCCTCCATTTCATAACAGAATCACACATTGGGTAACCACGGCTCACACATACAAACATCCCTATAAAAATATCTTATTGTTCACTCATAATCATCCATAATCAACGTACTTTTACTCGGCTAAAATCAATCTTCACAATCATCCATATAATAAAATAAAAACATATTATAATATCTATATAATTATGAAAAAAAGGCAAATGAAAAACTAACACAAGTTTAAGCTATATTAAAATGTTTTATTATATTACGTTCATTATCAGAATATAATCTGAACATATATTGCATGCATGATATTCATGAAAATTGGATAAGTAAATTAAGAGCATATTAAAGTTTCTATTTCCTAAAGAACGTGTCTTGAAATAGAGACTTAAAAACTAAGACTTCACGGTAAGAGGCGAATCAAGTGATTGAGTTGAATTTGGATCTGTGAGAACATTTCTTTTTATTTTTGGATTAAAGTTGTACTTGTAAGAAGTTTTCATGGCGGGAGGTGATTCTGGTGATTGTTCTGGATTTGGACCAGAGGGAACTTTTCTTTTTATCTCGTGAATAAAGTCGTAAACGTAAGACCTTTGCATGGCGGGAGGTGACTCTGGTGATTGTTCTGGATTTGGACCGGTGGGAACTTTTCTTTTTATTTCACGAACAAAGTTGTAGTTGTTAGACGTTTTCACGGTGGGAGGTGATTCCAGCGATTGTAATGGATTTGGAGCTGTAGGAACCTTACTTTTGATTTCTCCAACAAAATTGTGAGTGTAAGGCCTTTTCTAAGCAGGAGGTGAGTGTAGCAATTGAGCTCGTTTCAGACTAGTATATACGTTACTATTAATTTGATAATTTTTATAAGGATCGCTAACAACAAGAGAGAAGAGTAACATAGCCATGAGGACAATCAAATAAATCTTAAAAATTCCCATCTCTTTGAGTTTGAGTTTGAGTTTGAGTTTGTGATACAAAGATTATGTATAAATAACAAGGGTATGGGGTATGACAATTTAATTTGGTCAAAATACAGCTCGCACTAGTTTTTTCAATTCAAACTTAATTCGAAACAAAATGATATTTTATTTATAAAATTTAGAAATGTAGATGTGAATATTTCCTCAACTTGGAAATAAACAATTTTAAATTGATAATTTTTCAAATAATTTATTATTGAGATTTTTCCTTTAATTACTCTTTCTAGACGTCATTATTTATTATAAATAATATTTTTGTTAATAAAAAAAGGAAGGGTAAAAATAAATAAAAAGTAAGACATTTACTAACAATTTAGTAGATTTTATAGAATAAAAATTACTTTTGCTTAGTAATATTTTTAAAAAGTTAAACTTTTTAAATGAATATGCAATGGTTTGTTTCATAATCTAGAACCTTACATATTTTATCAAATTAATAATTTTCGGACAAAATTATTTTTAGATGAAGCGGTTTCAAATGAGTTGTGCCCTTAATTGAGGTGTAAACATAATTTTTATGGTAAGTATGAGTTTTCTGATTTTGCAATTTCCTATTTATAATAAAAATATGTACACTAAGTTTTTAAACTTTGTCGATAATATAAATGAACACTGGAGACATATTTGTCATTAGTTAATAAAAATAAACATAAGATAAAGGGTTAAACATTTGTCCTTGGCAAATATTATAGTGATTAATTAAAGAGTAAAACATAGGAGTGACAAAATAGATGGATTTGATGGATATGGATTGAATTGTTAATGAAATGATCAAAATAATTCATTAGTTCATTAATAATACACTAAATTCCCTTTAAAATATTCAATTTAATCCATCCATTAAAGATAAAACTAATCTGATCCATCCAATAAAATGATTTTAATGGATGGATATCATTCTATGAAAAAAAAAATCAATTTAAACATAGTTATATTTAAATTAATTGTTTCCGTCTGATTTTCTATTCATATTTCCTCTGCATCTTTATCATTGCATAAATTTATTTTAGAGTGAGGCTCAAAGTCAAAGGTTGACTCTTTCGCCTTTTATTGTAAATTTTTTATATATTTATTTTCAAAGACCATCTGTATTTGGTTTCATTAGTATTCATTTGCATTAGATGGTAAGTCACAAGTCAAAGAATTGACTTTTGAATATGACTTTCCTATTTAGTTTTTTTTATTAATTTTATTTTGGTTTAATTTCAATTTACTTCTATTAGAATACGTTGGTTCTAAAAAGCGATAAATATAGAATGAAAGTTTGAAATAGAATAAATTAAATATACTTTTATTGTTAAAATGATTAGTGCATCACATACCTATTATCTACATCCTACACTACATACCATCACATGGCTCCTACAATATTACACACCATGTACTACTTACATACAAACCAATTTCGTAACAAACTTGTAAATAATTCACAGTAAACTCCATCCAAATTACATTTTAAGAAACACAACTTCAATTATTTTCACCACACTAAAACTCCATCAAACTAATCTGAACCACTCTTAAAACTGCAAAACAATATCCTAACCTTTCACTCAATTAATTCATACGGATCACACTCAAACTCAACTTAAATTCCACCTAAATTATATACAAATTAATCCTAATTCTTTTTCTATTTCCCTCCATTTCATAACAGAATCACACATTGGGTAACCACGGCTCACACATACAAACATCCCTATAAAAATATCTTATTGTTCACTCATAATCATCCATAATCAACGTACTTTTACTCGGCTAAAATCAATCTTCACAATCATCCATATAATAAAATAAAAACATATTATAATATCTATATAATTATGAAAAAAGGCAAATGAAAAACTAACACAAGTTTAAGCTATATTAAAATGTTTTATTATATTACGTTCATTATCAGAATATAATCTGAACATATATTGCATGCATGATATTCATGAAAATTGGATAAGTAAATTAAGAGCATATTAAAGTGTCTATTTCCTAAAGAACGTGTCTTGAAATAGAGACTTAAAAACTAAGACTTCACGGTAAGAGGCGAATCAAGTGATTGAGTTGAATTTGGATCTGTGAGAACATTTCTTTTTATTTTTAGATTAAAGTTGTACTTGTAAGAAGTTTTCATGGCGGGAGGTGATTCTGGTGATTGTTCTGGATTTGGACCAGAGGGAACTTTTCTTTTTATCTCGTGAATAAAGTCGTAAACGTAAGACCTTTGCATGGCGGGAGGTGACTCTGGTGATTGTTCTGGATTTGGACCGGTGGGAACTTTTCTTTTTATTTCTCGAACAAAGTTGTAGTTGTTAGACGTTTTCACGGTGGGAGGTGATTCCGGCGATTGTACTGGATTTGGAGCTGTAGGAACCTTACTTTTGATTTCTCCAACAAAATTGTGAGTGTAAGGCCTTTTCAAAGCAGGAGGTGAGTGTAGCAATTGAGCTCGTTTCAGACTAGTATATACGTTACTATTAATTTGATAATTTTTATAAGGATCGCTAACAACAAGAGAGAAGAGTAACATAGCCATGAGGACAATCAAATAAATCTTAAAAATTCCCATCTCTTTGAGTTTGAGTTTGAGTTTGAGTTTGTGATACAAAGATTATGTATAAATAACAAGGGTATGGGGTATGACAATTTAATTTGGTCAAAATACAGCTCGCACTAGTTTTTTCAATTAAGCTTAATTCGAAACAAAATGATATTTTATTTATAAAATTTAGAAATGTAGATGTGAATATTTCCTCAACTTGGAAATAAACAATTTTAAATTGATAATTTTTCAAATAATTTATTATTGAGATTTTTCCTTTAATTAATCTTTCTAGACGTCATTATTTATTATAAACAATATTTTTGTTAATAAAAAAAGGAAGGGTAAAAATAAATAAAAAGTAAGACATTTACTAACAATTTAGTAGATTTTATAGCATAAAAATTACTTTTGCTTAGTAATATTTTTAAAAAGTTAAACTTTTTAAATGAATATGCAATGGTTTGTTTCATAATCTAGAACCTTACATATTTTATCAAATTAATAATTTTCGGAAAATTATTTTTAGATGAAGCGGTTTCAAATGAGTTGTGCCCTTAATTGAGGTGTCAACATAATTTTTATGGTAAGTATGAGTTTTCTGATTTTGCAATTTCCTATTTATAAGAAAAATATGTACACTAAATTTTTAAACTTTGTCGATAATATAAATGAACACTGGAGACATATTTGTCATTAGTTAATAAAAATAAACATAAGATAAAGGGTTAAACATTTGTCCTTGGCAAATATTATAGTGTTTAATTAAAGAGTAAAACATAGGAGTGACAAAATAGATGGATTTGATGGATATGGATTGAATTGTTAATGAAATGATCAAAACAATTCATTAGTTCATTAATAATACACTAAATTCCCTTTAAAATATCCAATTTAATCCATTCATTAAAGATAAAATTAATCTGATCCATCCATTAAAATGATTTTAATGGATGGATATCATTCTATGCAAAAAAAATCAATTTAAACATAGTTATATTTAAGTTAATTGTTTCCGTCTGATTTTCTATTCATATTTCCTCTGCATCTTTATCATTGCATAAATTTATTTTAGAGTGAGGCTCAAAGTCAAAGGTTGACTCTTTCGCCTTTTATTGTAAATTTTTTATATATTTATTTTCAAAGACCATCTGTATTTGGTTTCATTAGTATTCATTTGCATTAGATGGTAAGTCACAAGTCAAAGAATTGACTTTTGAATATGACTTTCCTATTTAGTTTTTTTTATTAATTTTATTTTGGTTTAATTTCAATTTACTTCTATTAGAATACCTTGGTTCTAAAAAGCGATAAATATAGAAGGAAAGTTTGAAATAGAATAAATTAAATATATTTTTATTGTTAAAATGATTAGTGCATTTTCTTACGTCATATTTCATTCTCAGTACACAATACATGTTTTTTGTTTACACTACCTTATACCACTTACATCACATACCTATTATCTACATCCTACACTACATACCATCACATGGCTCCTACAGTAATACACACCATGTACTACTTACATACAAACCAATTTCGTAACAAACTTGTAAATAATTCACAGTAAACTCCATCCAAATTACATTTTAAGAAACACAACTTCAATTATTTTCACCACACTAAAACTCCATCAAACTAATCAGAACCACTCTTAAAACTTCAAAACAATATCCTAACCTTTCACTCAATTAATTCACACGGATCACACTCAAACTCAACTTAAATTCCACCTAAATTATATACAAATTAATCCTAATTCTTTTTCTATTTCCCTCCATTTCATAACAGAATCACACATTGGGTAACCACGGCTCACACATACAAACATCCCTATAAAAATATCTTATTGTTCACTCATAATCATCCATAATCAACGTACTTTTACTCGGCTAAAATCAATCTTCACAATCATCCATATAATAAAATAAAAACATATTATATTATCTATATAATTATGAAAAAAGGCAAATGAAAAACTAACACAAGTTTAAGCTATATTAAAATGTTTTATTATATTACGTTCATTATCAGAATATAATCTAAACATATATTGCATGCATGATATTCATGAAAATTGGATAAGTAAATTAAGAGCATATTAAAGTGTCTATTTCCTAAAGAACGTGTCTTGAAATAGAGACTTAAAAACTAAGACTTCACGGTAAGAGGCGAATCAAGTGATTGAGTTGAATTTGGATCTGTGAGAACATTTCTTTTTATTTTTAGATTAAAGTTGTACTTGTAAGAAGTTTTCATGGCGGGAGGTGATTCTGGTGATTGTTCTGGATTTGGACCAGAGGGAACTTTTCTTTTTATCTCGTGAATAAAGTCGTAAACGTAAGACCTTTGCATGGCGGGAGGTGACTCTGGTGATTGTTCTGGATTTGGACCGGTGGGAACTTTTCTTTTTATTTCTCGAACAAAGTTGTAGTTGTTAGACGTTTTCACGGTCGGAGGTGATTCCGGCGATTGTACTGGATTTGGAGCTGTAGGAACCTTACTTTTGATTTCTCCAACAAAATTGTGAGTGTAAGGCCTTTTCAAAGCAGGAGGTGAGTGTAGAAATTGAGCTCGTTTCAGACTAGTATATACGTTACTATTAATTTGATAATTTTTATAAGGATCGCTAACAACAAGAGAGAAGAGTAACATGGCCATGAGGACAATCAAATAAATCTTAAAAATTCCCATCTCTTTGAGTTTGAGTTTGAGTTTGAGTTTGTGATACAAAGATTATGTATAAATAACAAGGGTATGGGGTATGACAATTAAATTTGGTCAAAATATAGCTCGCACTAGTTTTTTCAATTCAAACTTAATTCGAAACAAAATGATATTTTATTTATAAAATTTAGAAATGTAGATGTGAATATTTCCTCAACTTGGAAATAAACAATTTTAAATTGATAATTTTTCAAATAATTTATTATTGAGATTTTTCCTTTAATTAATCTTTCTAGACGTCATTATTTATTATAAATAATATTTTTGTTAATAAAAAAAGGAAGGGTAAAAATAAATAAAAAGTAAGACATTTACTAATAATTTAGTAGATTTTATAGCATAAAAATTACTTTTGCTTAGTAATATTTTTAAAAAGTTAAACTTTTAAATGAATATGCAATGGTTTGTTTCATAATCTAGAACCTTACATATTTTATCAAATTAATAATTTTCGGACAAAATTATTTTTAGATGAAGCGGTTTCAAATGAGTTGTACCCTTAATTGAGGTGTAAACATAATTTTTATGGTAAGTATGAGTTTTCTGATTTTGCAATTTCCTATTTATAAGAAAAATATGTACACTAAATTTTTAAACTTTGTCGATAATATAAATGAACACTGGAGACATATTTGTCATTAGTTAATAAAAATAAACATAAGATAAAGGGTTAAACATTTGTCCTTGGCAAATATTATAGTGTTTAATTAAAGAGTAAAACATAGGAGTGACAAAATAGATGGATTTGATGGATATGGATTGAATTGTTAATGAAATGATCAAAATAATTCATTAGTTCATTAATAATACACTAAATTCCCTTTAAAATATCCAATTTAATCCATCTATTAAAGATAAAATTAATCTGATCCATCCATTAAAATGATTTTAATGGATGGATATCATTCTATGCAAAAAAAAATCAATTTAAACATAGTTATATTTAAATTAATTGTTTCCGTCTGATTTTCTATTCATATTTCCTCTGCATCTTTATCATTGCATAAATTTATTTTAGAGTGAGGCTCAAAGTCAAAGGTTGACTCTTTCGCCTTTTATTGTAAATTTTTTATATATTTATTTTCAAAG